TAGTGCGCTTTTACATGAAATAGAAAAGGTCAAACGTCGAAAAGTACTACTCAGGTACTAAATATTAGCGCACGTCATATATATAATTTTTTATTTTTTTCCATTTTTAGCTTGCCAATTTTTTTTTCTACTGTCTACCAAACGGATAATTTACAATTGAGCACTAAACATTTATTAAATTTTGAATAAAACTTCAGTTGCTTTTTAATCGTAAGGTTGGCCAAAATTTGTTACTAATAATCTTTTATTTATGCTCTCTACAATCCTGGTTAAAGTCAGACACGAATGAAGCACAGAACATTGATATATTTTAGAATTACCAATTGTTCAGCCAATTAACGAAGATGTAGCCATGGAAAAATCAATAATATATCTTTTATGCACCCCCATTGATAAATCCCGGATATGCCAATGCATTATATATATTCTTTATTAAAATACATAAAAATAGGTGTCCTCTTTCTAATGGAAAGATCTGGTAACCCTAGCCGGCAAAAACTATTCCGTAGCATAGGCAGCTAGGCCCGAACTTTTTAGCTCGAACTAAACCTAATTACTTTTTGCGTATAAAATGCATAAACTTGCATAATTCGAGGTATAAAAACGTCCAGCCTGCTCAAAATATATTTTAAAATGCCCAGCCTGACCTGAATAATAATTTTAAAAAATTATAACATTTAATAAATTTAAAATATTTAATTTTTTTTACAAATATCAAATTAAATCTTGAGCGGTTTTAAGGAGTGGGGTGGTAAATTAAGGTCTGTATTCATATGCTTAGTCATGATTTTGCTTGAGGAGAGGGGGGGAGGTAGCACCATTAGGTGGGGTTTTATACCCTAAATGTTAAGGTCTTGAAGTGCGTTTATTGTAGACCTTTGGTGTTTGAATTTTTACAAAAATAAATTTGGGTTTTCACATTTTTTTAATATTTTTTTTAAAAATTTTGATATAGTTATATTAAATGTTATTAACTTTTACTAATTATTCTATCAAATTCTTCTTTTGATATATTTTATATATTTGAGAGAGAGGAGGATTTTTATTAGCCCAAATTGATATTTACGAGATAGGACAAATTTCCGTGAGAGACCCCCCCCCCCGGCTACGCCTATGTTCATATTATAAGAATTATTTGAACTTTCCCTGTCGTGCTTGCTGGACATGACCATTTCGGAAAAACTCTTGGAAATTAAGTATTTATATTTTTAAAAATTAATGAGATTTTTCTTTAGAGGTATTCGCTGGAGATTTAATAATTTAAAGATTTGGGAACCAAATATGAAAACATATATTTAATTTAGCATGAGATTTAAAAAAAAGAAGCAAATTAAGTATTTATATTTTTAAAAATTAATGAGATTTTTCTTTAGAGGTATTCGCTGGAGATTTAATAATTTAAAGATTTGGGAACCAAATATTAAAACATATATTTAATTTAGCATGAGATTTTAAAAAAAAGAAGCAAATTAACAAAAAAAATATATTGCCCCGGGTGAGGATTGAACTCACGACCTTAAGATTATGAGACTTACGCGCTACCTACTGCGCTACCGAGGCCATGAGTATATTTATATAAATTTTATATATAATCCATTTGATAGTGAAATATTGTAATTTATAAAAAAAAATTTATGTATATTATTATAATTAAACCACAGCATGATTATAAAAATCTTTAATTTATCATTTTTATTAGATTAAATGACTTCTTATTAAAATATTGTTATTGCGCTACCGAGGCCATGTAGATATTTATATAAATTTTATATATATAATCCATTTGATAGTGTATGCAAGTTTTGTATGTATTGCAATTTATAAAAAATTTAGGTAGTTTTTTGTATATTATATTATAATTAAACATATATTAATCTTTTAAAAAATTTATAATTTTTATTAGATGAATTGAGCTTCTTATTAAAACATTGTTATTAAATAAAAATTGAGGCCAAATATTAATAAAAATTAACATTCCTATAATTACATTTAATAATGTAATTACATTTAATAATGTATAATGTAATTACATGTCAAATATCTCATAATTGACATAATATGTACAAATATATGTCAATTGCCATTCTCAGCATCAATCAATTATTTTAAAAAATATATTTTTTTAATTATACTTATAATTTAGATAGGATAAAATATCTTTTGATATTATTTTAGCTATTTCTCAAATACTATGGTTGTGACCGATCAATGGTAAATTATTATACTTTATATTTTATATTTCTTTACATTATATCCACCCCCCCCCTAAGCCAAAAAATGCAGATGCCGGATATATTTTTCAAAAATATTATTGTTTATATTAACTTATATTTGTTAATATTTATTCGATCTCATATTAAATATATATTTAATTACATTTATTATCAAATTTATCTACTAAGTTATTTCATCAATTAATTTCGATTTCAAGTTTCCCGGCGTAATATTTACTTATTATTTTCAAATTTTTAGTGGCGTAATATTTATCTACCAATTTCAAATTTCTAGTCAAATAATTATTATTTCTGAAACTTCTTGTCAAACAGGGAAAAAAATATTGCAACCTTGTCCAACAGGGAAAAGAAATTGCAACCTTGTCCAACGAGATAGAGTCTCTGCCATCAAGCAGTAACAGCTTTTAAGGAGTTAGAAGAGCCAATTATTTACTATTACTGAAATATCACAATGGCCTGAAAGAAATATTTCCTCAGAAGCAAGAAAATTATTGGATTCAATGCTTATTCCAAATTTTATTTCTCATTAGAATTTATTATTTAATTATACAACTATTTTAAGTAATACTTTTCAAAAACATGACATTGACTTGATTAAGAGATGAGAATAGCGGAGAGCATTTTATCAGAACTCAAGGAAATTAGGGCTAATGTTGATGAAGAATTTTATATTTTATTGTTGAGTCAAAAGAAGAGTTATACGTGTTTAATATTTGTCTCCCTCGACTTGTAGCAAGGTAAGCTCATCGTTAAAACATTAATATAGTATAAGTAGAAGAGTATATCTTAAATACAGATACATTTATAACCCAAATAAATGAATTTTTAATTCATAATGCAGCACTAACTAATCTGCAAATATTAGTTCCACAAAAGCCTTCCCAACCTTTTCCAGATGGTGATAGAAAAAAAATATTTGTTAGATTTTTATTATGAAGATATTAAAGTATCTTATGATGCCTTACTAACTGAATAACTATGTTTATAAGATTAACAATGGTTATAGTCCCAAAAAATGCTATGGATGCTCTGCATTATTTCAAACACATTTTAGATTAAATTCCCAATGTATTAAAAGGGTTTATAAACTCTTCCCATTAGTAAACTAATGAGAACATTCTCTTTTTTAAGAAGAATAACAGAGGCCTGCAGAAGTACCATTTGCAGGGCACGGCCCGAATTTTTTTTAAAGATTTTTTACGGCCCGGCCTGGGTTTTTTTAAAAAAAATTTCAGGCCCGACTCGGCTTTTTTTAAAAATTTTCAGGCCCGGCCCGGCTTTTTTTAAAATAAAATTTTCAGGCCTTGGGTGTTTTTTAAAAAAAAATTCGGGCCCGGCCCGGGTATATTTAAAAATATTAAAATACTGTCCAGCTCGGGGGCCGGGCCTGCAGGTCTCTGAAAAACATACCAAGAAGTACAACATCTGAAAGTAGATTAAAAGGTTTGGATCATTTGAATATTCATAGGCATTTGACGACAAGCAAGGATGAGATAATTGAAAAATTAGCTCAATCACAACGAAGATTGGATTTTACATTGTAAATATATAACATATAAAATGCAATTATTCCTAAGAAACTTTTTATGTAAAGGCTCAAAAAATTCAAATTTCTATTTTGGGTCATTTAAGTGATTCTTTACATATAATTTTTTTATAATTCACATAAATTTAAAATTGTGTATTAGAAATAGTTATTAGTCCTAATAATGCTTGATATTATTAAAAAACAATAATATTTCCTAAAAAATTTTATCATCCCCCCCTCCCCAGACCAAATTCCTGCGTACGCGCCTATAATATTAATTTTTCCATAAATGATTCATCATCTGTTTTTTATAATGCTATTAATATTTTTGAAGATTAACCATAGATTCTAACAACATACATTTATTTTAAAAAATATTTTGGCGGCAAAATATGGAATTTTATCATTATTCAATTATTTTAGATATCATTCTTATCAATGGCCTCCACAACAAATAGAATACGAACAGTGACGTCGCTAGGAGGGTGCGCGCAGGGGCTCGAGCCCTCTGAAAAATTTGAATAGCCCCCTGAAGCAAAAAATTTTTTTAAAAAAGTCTCCTTAATATCCCCTTGTACTAAAAATAAATTTTTAATTACCCCAAGAACGATTTCTTTTAAAATTTATAAGACTATATAGATATTTATTAAATAATTACTATTTTAATTATTAGATTAGATTAATACGTATAAATTATATTTTTAATATGTCAGTTTGCAATCAAGTTCTATATTAAAAATGGAATATCAATACCATGCATAATGTTTAAACATCAATTTAGCATTAAAAATTGAAGTAATTGATTTTTATTATTTTAATTAATTTAAAACCCTAATTAAATAAATATAATCATTTATTAATTGATAATTATCAAATTTAATATTTTAATTATCCGAGTTCAAAATCACTATTTAAACTTTAAAATGCATGTGAAAAATTCATCTATCAAAAAATTTAAAAAAAACAAAACATATGGTGAGTAATTTAATACACTTTTTTAGTTTCAAACTATACCTTAGATAATGAAAGATGATTAATTGTGGTTCTAAAAGATATAAATTGTGAAAACAAAAAAGTTAAAAGAAAGACAGGTAAATTAATTAATATATAATCTAAGTTATTTTATTTATAAAATAATAAAAGATAAACCTGTGGGTCAATCTGTAGATATAGATCCAATGTATAGATATCTCAGGATGTATTAATTTTTATAATTAAATATAAAATTTTATATAGGCATGGAATCTAATAGCAGTAATCCATATAAAGGTATGAGTTGTACTGGAACAAATTACTTTTGATGAAATATATTTTAAAATTAATCTTATTTAGATTGTTTGGTTAATGAAGAAAGAAGGCTTATTGATGAAAGGACTAATGTAGGGACAGTAGAAAAGAAAAAAATAGGTAAATTAATTTGTATTTAATATGAGATATATTTATAAAATAATAAAAGCTATACACATGGCTCAATCTAACAGTGACAACCATACAAGTATTTTTTTCATTATAACAATATTTTTCTTCAAATATATAATATTTGCCATAATTTTCAAAAAAAAAATTTTATTTTAATTTATATATTAATATTTGTCACTTTTTTAGAAGAACTTATACAAGTATTATTTTTATTTTAACAATATTTTTCTTCAAATATATATTTGTCATAATTTAAAAGCAATGATATTTTAATTCATATATTAATATTTTTACTTTTTCAGAAGAGCTCGATCTGGGTACTAAAACACCTAAACCTATACAACCAATATTAAGTGCATATCCTTGTACTGGATTGGGGAAAGATAGAAGATGTTTTCAACCTCAGTGGTACAAATCCTTTACTTGGATAGAATATAGCATTACCAGAAACGCTATTTTTTGTTTTCCTTGTCGTAATTTTCCCACACAACCTCAAAAAGGTTATCTGTTTGTTATAGGTTATCAAAAATTTCGTAAGGTAAAAGAATTCTTAACAGCTCACGGAGAAACAAATGGTCATGCAACGAATGTGATTCTCTGGAACCATTTTAAACAATCTTTAATAGAAGGGACCATTAAAGAAAAATTTGTAGCTCTAACTAAATCAGAAATAATGGTGAAATATTAAACTGTTTGAAAGAGTATGATTCATTTTTAACGGCATATAAGCCACCGGGCAATGCTCATTATTGCTCACCTCCATTACAAAATCAAATGCTATCTGCAGCGGGAAACATAATCTTAAAGTACATAGCTTCAGAAATAAGGGAGGCAGGTTATTTTGATGTCATGGCTGATGACACTCGTGATGTTAGCTCATATGAACAATTTTGTATATGTGTTAGATATGTTGATAAAACAAATACACCAAAGGAATTTTTTATATCTTTTGAAAAAGTTGTAGACTTAAATGCAGAATCATTAACAAAGACATTGATATCAACCTTAAATAACAATTCTATAAATGCGATTTGCGTTGCTCAAGCTTATGATGGTGCCAGTGTTATGAAAGGGCATCTTTCAGGAGTCCAGGAAAAATATCGCAAAAATCACAAAATGGCTATATATGCGCACTGCTATGCACATAAACTCAATCTTGTATTGATCTCAGCATGCAAATATTTACCTCAGTCTAGAAAGTTTTTTAATTTATTAGAATCTATTCATGCTTTTTTCTCAATATCTAATATCCATCATAACAAATTTCTTGATTTACAATTAAGATTAGGGCTAAAATCCAAAAATATTGATGCCTTGAGTTCTACACGTTGGGGATCCCATATTAGAACAATAGAGGCAGTAAAAAACACTTTCCCTGCAATTATTTCTTATCTAGAAAATATAAAGCATGGTGATATGGTGAAAGCAAATGGAATTTTATATATTCTTTTACAATATGATACAATTATGTGTATGTTTATATTCCAAATATTATTATCTATGTGTTCCAATATTTCTATTTTTTTACAAAAATCAGATTCTGACATATCAACAGCATTGGCTCTTATCGAGTCTCTTATCATTTCTTTGTCAAATTTAAGAAATAATTCTTATTTTTCTTCATTATTTATCGAAGTAAATAAATTCTGCAATTTATATAATATAAAAATAACAAATAAAAGAACAAATATAGGAGAGAACAGGGCTAGTTGGCGCAATTTTTGTCAAAATCATCATAGCTCCGAAAATAATGATCATATAAGATCTTACAAAATACCAATAGATACCTTAAACATCTACCTATAAATATATACTGTTATAATTTTTAAATATTTAATAATTATTTTTCTAGAAAGGTTTAAGTAAAAGTCATTTTTTGAACCTAGTAGCCCCGAACCCGTGGTTAGTCGGATCATGGATGGGGCTAGCCGAATCAAGTGGTTTATTAGGCTTCTTATGGGACAAAAAAAATTTTTCGCAGATTTTAATATATAACTATGATACTTTATTTATATAATATTCTATTTATAATTTTAACAAATAAAATAACAATCTTTTTTGACAGAGAACTACTCTACATTGAAACCAATCTTCAAAATTATGAAATTTATAATCCTGTTTACATATAATACACACATATTTTATTAATGTTTATATTTAATAATAATAAATTTACTCAAAATTTATCTAATTCTATATTTAAATATATAACATCATTTGATTTTATTATCAGGCTAAATATAATTTGATAACTAAAATGTTCATGTCCAATAAAATGAATTAATTTGAATCATGTTATATTGTCAATTAAAATAGATATATATATAAATATTTGTTTGTTAGATATAATTCATTTTAAATATATTGATATTATTATCAGGCTAAAATTTATATACTAAAATGTTCATATCTAATAAAATGTATTAATTTGAATCATATTATATTGTCAATTAAAAAAAATATATATATTATATTTGTTTGCTAGATATAATTAATTTAAATAATTGATCTTATTATCAGGCTAAAATTTATATATGCAATATATATAATATCAGTGACAATATATAATATATATTCACAACATGTATATGAAAATTTTAGTTTGCAAGATATTTATATAGGTCTGATATTATATTAAAATTGAAATGTATTATGAAAAATCAATCACATTAATAAATTTATATAATAATTATTATTTAATATATTACATTTATAAAATATTATATTATGATTATCTGTACAATATATAATATATTATCACAATATGTATATGAAGATTTTAGTTTGCAAGATATTTATTTAGGGCTGATTTTATATTAAAATTGAAATGTATTATGAAAAATCAATCACATTAATAAATTTATATAATAATTATTATTTAATATATTACATTTATAAAATATTATATTTTAACCTGTAATAAATGGTATTTTTCTTAATGAGATATCATTTTCATACAGTTTTATAGTTTCTTCATAATCTTTTTTAATAAAAATTTTACTATTTTGAATTTTGCATATATATTTGGGTACCATAATAATATAATAAAAATTGACTGATTGCGCCGACTAGCCACGATTCTACTAACCTCAATGGTGGTAATATTACTAATTTGATCTTAACATATATTTAAGCATTATATATCAATCTAAAACTTTCCCAAATATTAAAATAGATATTTAACTTTCATATAATGTTCATTTTGTCATGTTTAAACTTTTAACTTTTTAATACAACCTTATAATATAAAGTGAAAATCTTGTAATTTTTACGTCAAAAACATGTCATAGCGGATAAAAATTTAAATAGCTAAATATTATAAATTATTTTCATCCCCAATTATGGATATTATAGAATTCTATTTTAGAATTAAATTTCAAATTTTAATCTTTAATGGATTTAAAATAAAATCCTTTGAACCGACAAGCCCCTTGGCCCTGGTCTCCCCTCCATTCTACCATTTTAAATGATTCTATTCAAATAGATGATATTATTTCTCCTAATTATTCTGATCAAGCAGAAACTTTTTATAAGTGTCATGTCTTTTATACAATTTTGGATATTATGATAAATGAATTAAATAAGAGATTTTGTCAAGAAAACACAGATATATTAATAGCTATAAGTGCTTTACATCCCTCCTCCCCCCAATTTTTAAATAATGATATCATTAAACCATTTATCTTATATTATAATCTTCCTGATCCAATGGAAGAATACGCAATATTAAAGATTTATATTTTAACCTATAATAAAACACATGAACCTATGTGCAAATCGATAATAGATTTGATAAAAATCGTACCCATCGATATATTCCCTCGTATATATAATTGCCTTAAAATTGCGCTAACTACCTTTTAATTCCTGTTTATGTGAAAGATCGTTTTCAGCTTTAAAACGGGTGAAAACATATATTCGATCGACAATGGATCAGAAACGATTAAATTCATTGGCTCTATTGAGCATTGAAAATAATGTTAGTAATAACATTCCTATAGATCACATTATAAATGAATATGCAACAATGACTAACCGTCGTAGAGAACTTATTTTATCAGATAATTTAACCTTATAATTTATATTATGAAACGTAGTTTTAGGCATTAGTATAAGCGAGTAAATATATCGTTTAATATTATTTTATAATTTTTTTTATAATTTCTAAAATTAGCTTAAAGATATGGCACTTATAAAAAATTTCTTTTTGAGATATATATAGACAATACAATAATATATAAGATTTTAATTGCTTTCATCATATCACTCTTATTTTTTAGCTTCTATATAATTCATTTCTAATTTGGCATCCTTACCATGTAAATAACTCAAGGCTTCAATATATTTGCTTAATTTCTTCTAAAGATTTTTAATGTTTTTTTTTATCAATTTATCTAATATTATAAATTCTGATATGAGTTAACATCGTGGGTGTTATGGCTTTGACTGTAAATTAACCAGCATCTATAATTTGTGTGGCTATGTAATTTAAGATTATTACTACAGCTGCTGAGTGCATATGATTGCATATTTTAGATATGCAATCAGTGGCGTCGATAGGAGGGAGCGCGCAGGGGCTCGAGTCCCCTGAAAAATTTGAATAGCCCCCTGAAGCAAAAAATTTATTTAAAATTGCTCCTTAATATCCCCTTGAACTAAAAATAAATTTTTTTAATTTCCCCCTGAACGATTTCTTTTATAATTCTATTGAGTAATATATAGATTTAATTTTATTATTTAAAAATTAATAAAACTATCAAAACTATCTAATTTTTTATTAAATGAATACTATTTTAATAATTAGATTAGATTATACATATTATGTTCACCCTGTCAGCTTGCAATCAAATTCTGTGTTAAAAATATATGAATATCACTCACTAAATATTAATTTAGAATTAACAGTTGAAGCTTAATTGACTTTTATTATTTAAATTATTATATAACCTTAATTAAATAAATATTAATTTAAAATTAACAAATTTAATATTGTAATTAGCCGAGTTCAAAATCAATAATCAACTATAATATTGATATTTAAATTTAATTACCATGCCTCTTCTTAAAATTATTTTCAACGTCCAAATCCAAATAAGTATAAAAGATTTATTTATGAAAAGTAAGTAAACATATAGTTTATAATCCTCTATTAAATATAATTGGTTATAAAATATTGGGTTAAGTACCACTTTTATTACAGTTAATATTTAATAATTTTACAAATAAATGCTTTTAATAATAAATATAAGTAATAAATTGCTTTCAAATATTTAACGCCATCTATTTATTTAGAAATATTTTTAAAATTAAACATCTTATCATTTATCCCAGAATGGATGTAATAAATTAGATAACTTTTCTTCTCTTTTTTACGTGTTTTTAGGAAAGCTATTTTTTCTTATTTGAAAAACAGTTTTGAGTTAAATTTTTAATACTAGTATATTTTTGATATTATTACAAAACTACTACTTTTTTAAGTTATAATTTACCAACTAGAAGTGGTGCGACAATATTTTATAAAATTTTAATTAATTTCTTTTATCATATCATATCACTCTGGTTCTTATTTTATAGTTATAAAATGTTTCATTTCTAATATGACATCTCTGCCTTGTATATAACTTAAGGTTTCAATACATTTGCATAGATTTTTAGTGTTTTTGTTTTATCAATTTATCTAGCATAATAAATTCAGATATAAGTTAATATAGTGAGTGTCATGGCTATGACTGCAAATTAACCAGCATCTATTATTTGTGTGGCTATGTTATTTAAGATTATTATTACAGCTGCTGAGAGCATATGATTGCATATTTTATAAGCAATAATGGTCAACTGTGTAGTTGTTTATATATCATTAAAAATGGAAGATGATCTTTTAGAAATTTAATATCTCACATTTTTTTTCTTAATTACTTATCTAGCTTTCATCATGATATTTAAAAGGAAGCTCTAACCACCATATAGTTTTATGATTTGGATTATCGTTTATATTCTCTTCTCCAAGAATTGTTGATTTGGTTAGGCCTATAAATTTTTCCTTATTAGTCCATTCTATAAAACATTGTCTAAAAGGGTAACAGAGAGTTATATTAGTTTCATGACCTTTTGTCAATGTAACTTGCTAAAATTATATAGCCTTATGTGGTTTTTAAAAACCATTATCAATTGAGGCATATGTATGAATTAATTTATCACTTGTAATTTTTTACGCAAATTTTTTTATATCAGCAATCGAAAATATTTTATACTGTAATAAATAGATTATGTATTAAAAAATATTATTTATAGAAATGGTTTGTATTGTTTTAATCATTTATATGCTAGTTTATTTTGTATGCAAAATATTAAAAATAACAAAATATGAAATTCAGAATAATTATCTAGAGTTATTTTTTTAACTGAGCACCCTGAGATTGTAAAGGCTAGCGACGCCCCTGTATACAATAATGGTCAAATGTGTAGTCGTTTATATATCATTAAAAATGGAAGATAATCTTTTAGAAATTTAATATCTCACATTAATTTTTCGTTTACTTATCTAGCTTCCATCATGTCATCTAAAAGGAAGCTCTAACTACCATAAAGTTTTATGATTTGGATTGGTCATTTATATTCTCTTCTTCGACAATTGTTAATTTGGTAAGGCCTATAAATATTTTCTTATTAGTCCATTCTATAAAACATTGTCTAAAATGGTAACAGAGAGTTATATTAGTTTCATGATCTTTTGTCAATGTAAGCTTTAAGAATTATATAGCCTTATGTGGTTTTTAAAAACCATTATTAATTGAGGCATATATATT